TGGATTTGGGATTTGGGATTGGGATTTGGGATTTGGGATTTTGGCATTTGAATTTTGAATTTGGGTGGCAGGTATACATTAGTATAATAACCTGAGATACTATGGAACAATTAGGATATTCTATTGATAAACTATCCAATAGTATTATTCTACCTGCAGTAGGAAAAAATATCTAACCTTTAGGAGTTATTAGAGACTTTTCTGTAAATGTTACAAGTTATACTATTCCTATTGATGTAGAAGTTACTGAAGCTACTACCTATACTCTCATTTTAGAAAATAACTAGCTCCTAAAGGCTAATGAAAATTATAATTGACAAAACTAGGAGTTAACCTTAAAGTGAAGAAATAAAGATTTAATTTTACCTGCTTCCTGTATTTAAGAAAATATGATGAAAATTTCTGAAACTAAGAGTAAAAAAGAATTTAGTGACAGTGAAACAGAAAGTGAAGAAGAATTTTCTGAACAAGAGAATGATGAGGATGGTGATATATTCGAAAACTGTATTGAATATTTCAAAGAGGAAATAAATTTCTCTGAAGGAAATGAAAATGAAAGTGATGATAATAAAGAAAATGAAATTGAAAATGATACAGAAAGTGATAATTCAGATTCTATTGAATCTGAAGATAAGGAAAGTAACTCAGAATCTGAATTTGAAAGTGATAGTGATTATAATAAAGATATTTTAGATGAAATTCCCGTAATGATGGGAGATTCATTAGTTAAAACTAAATTGAATATTGATACTTTAAGTACTAAACAACAAGAACAATTCAATCAGTTACTTGAAGAGAATCAAGATATGTTTATAACAGATATTAGTTAATTAGGACGAACAAATATTATTCAACATAAAATTGACACTGGGATTGAGAAACCTGTAAAACAAAGGTTTTACCATTCCAATCCAATTGAAGAGCAATTTATAGAAGAAGAAATTCAACAATTACTACAAAAAGTACTAGTTGTAAAATCCTTTAGTCCTTGGACTTCCCCAGTAGTTGTTGTGAGTAAAAAAAATAGAAAACAATGTCTATGTATTGATTATAGGAAAGTAAATACCCTTACAAAAAAAAAAAAAAAAATAATATGTTAAACGTAATGCAAGGTGTAAAATAATTTACCACCTTTGATTTAATATGAGTTCGATTTTCTTCTACTCCATCACATATTGAACCTATAGTATATATTCCTATGTATTCTAATTTTGCTGTCAGTTCAAAAATTAAAGTATTTAAATTATGCATTGTAATATTATTAATTCTATAATAAGATATAAGAAATGAAAAATTATATGTAACCAAATGTCAAATAAACTGGTGTACTTGTGTTACAAGATTGTGTTTTTGTTTATTAGGTATTATATGTATCAGAAAATTTTTCAGGGCGTAAATTTCCATAACACAAATGGGACTTACAGAAATTTACACCTAAAAATTCAATTTTTTTTAACTTTGGTCGCAATTTACGAGACAGGAAGCGATTTTCTACTAAGGTGTTTCTATGACAAATCGAAAGCCCTGGTTCTTGGCTACAAGATGATGTGTAAATTATTCCTGTAGCATCGATATCCGCGGAGATATTCACGGATATCGATGCTACAGGAATAATTTACACATCATCTTGTAGCCAAGAACCAGGACTTTCAATCTGTCATAGAAACACTTTAGTAAAAAATCGCTTCCTGTCCCGTAAATTGCAACTAAAGTTAAAAAAATTGAATTTGTAAGTGTAAATTTCTGTGGGTCCCATTTGTGTTATGGAAATTTACGCCCCGAAAAATTTTCTGATGATTATCAGATGAAGAAGTAATTCAGAAACAATATGAGCAATATTTGCTATTTCATTAGAAACTTCTTCTTCTTCATTTTTAATTTTTTATTTAAATATTCTTTTAAATTTATAATTGCTCTTTTATAATTAATCTTTGTTAATTAACTGTTTCTATAAGTATTTCTTTAGATGCATGTATTGTTTTTGTTGAATTTATTCCAGTTAAAATTCTTCGTTAAATTTGTTGTAAAGTTTTTTTTTAATTTAAAACAATTTTAATATATAGTATTTTCTTTTACTATGAGTGTACAATCTACTCATCTATATATTTTTCTATTTTTTTCTAAAAAAGCAAAAGGAGTATGTTCTTTTTTATTGTTAACTAATTAAGTTCCACAGATCTGCATGACATCTTCAAAACCTTTAATTAAATTATAATTTGTTAATTTAAATATAAATATAAATATATATATATAGTCAAACTCCTCTGAATACATCTCCTCTAAATGTATCTCCTCTGAATACATAACTCCTCTTAATGCATATTATTGGTTTGGTCCCATGATAGGACTTAATACTTATTGCATAATCCTTTAAATGCATATACAATCGAAATTTTTATATAATAAATATATCTTCTAAATACATATATTACATAATATATTATAATTTTGACCAGAGTTAAGATTAAATTTGTAAGTCTGAAGTAATTATTTTTTAATTTATTAATTTATTAAATAAAGATCATATGATATGAGCAATCAATTTTCATTATGCGTAGATAATATTTAATGATCGAAGTTTAATAAAGTAAACTTACAAGTCTAATTTATTATCAAAGTCTTAATTATAACAAAAAGTCTAATTAGTATAAAAAAATATAGAACCATTTTCTTTATTTAAGTACTTTTTAAATCATTTACATTTTATTCCACTTATATACCTTTTTTTATTGTAAAAAAATAATAAAATCTTCTTTATATTTTTGATTATACTCTTATATCACATTTCTAACTAAATAATCTTTCAAACTTGTTTGTACAAGCGATCTTACCTTCAATATTCTCAATACATGTTGAATTTTCATTAAACTATTAAATTCTTTTGAATAATTATCTTCCTGACTTAAAAAGAAATGTACTAATATGTCAAGTAATTCTGTTATTTCTTTAATTGATACTGGCAAAAGTTCTAAGCTGTCATCCTCATTTTTTATGTCATTTCCTTTGGTTTCTTTTGAACTACAAACAAGGTCAACAATTTTCTCATCTATGAACTGTTTATCAATTACATTTTCATTCTCTGGATTTAAAAAATCATCAACTTTCATAGGATGTCGATAGCACAATAATCGTATATCTTAATTTATTGCTACTATAATTTCACCCTTTTCTTTAATATCATCACTTTCTGCTTCAGTTACTACTTCTTCATCTCAGATTTTGATATGTTGAAAACAATTAATAATTGTTATGGATATTATGTCCTCTTGTCATAATTCGTGAATAAACAAGATTACCTTCAAAACTGACAGTTTATTCAAATTAACTCATTTTCAAATTATTCTAACAAATGTTATACAAACTTTTTTTCGATAATATATCTTGAAAGATGTAATTATTCCTGCATCACAAGGTTATAATCGTGATGTTGTGTTTGATGGTAAAAATTTGATAGTTGTATTATTCAATTGTATACCAATAACTATATGAGATGGAGCATTATCAAGAAGAAGAAGAACCTTTTGGCCTTGCATTTGCTGATCAAAATAACACAACTATTTCTGAAACAAAATAGTTGTCATCCAAGCCTTTTTATTATATTGATACATTACTTCAAGATTTGCAAGGTTAACATTTTTAAAACAACAGAGCTTAGCACTTCGACTAATAACAAGTGGTTTTATCTTGTGTGAACCATCACCATTACAGCAAAGAGCAACTGACAACCTCTCTTTATTTTTTTTTTTACCTGCCATTTGCTAAGTAGTCAATGTTATATCAGGTTCCATCTAATAAAAAAGTTCAGTTTTATCCATGTTATAGATATCCTTCCATGCATAACTGTTTGTTAACTATTTGAGATCGGTAATAGTTTTTCTGATTACTTATTTATTCACGGAGTCACTCTCACCATGTATCCAAATTTGTTTTAAATTGTGCCGTTCTTTAAACTGACAAAGCCAACTATTTGAAAATGTGATTTCGTTCTTATTTACATCAAAGAGATTTGCAAAAACTCGTGCTTTTCTACTAATAATTGATCTGTTAATGGTATTTGTTCTTGAGTTCGCAGGAACCATTCCAATAATGCTTTCTCAAGTTCTGGAAATTTTACATTTTGAGCATGTTTCTAGAAGGACTTGTCCAATTTATCTATATCCAAGAATTCGCTTGATCATTTTAGTACTCGAGATACTGTTGTTTAATTAATTTTAACTTTAAGTATCAGTTCACACCACTCAATAAGATCTTTTTGAGTAATGGCAAGATTATCTCACTTTTTCAAACAAATTTCATGCCATTGGAGATTCGTTAAAACTGTTTTTGTCATGAATAAAAAAAGTTAAATGTTACAAAGAAATATTCAAAATATCCTGTACTATATACTATTTATTTTTAATTATAAAATAAAAATAAAGGTATTTTACAATCCCTATTGTTAAAGAAAAAAAGATCGTATCATTAGGCAACTATCATGTGATTTAAATCTGAACCAATGAACAGTATTATGAGCTAATCATATGACTATCCCTCTAAATACATAACTCCTCTTAATACATATAATTTGCATAGTCCGAACAGTATGCATTTAGAGGAGTTTAACTGTATATAATAAATAATTATCAATGGTACTTTGTCCTTAACAAATTTTAACATAAAAAATATAACGAACAATGTTAACTATATCATCTGATGTTCTTTTCATTACTTTTGTTTAAAAAGGAAGATAAATATCTTGCACTACTTTGTTAAGTATGTAAATTTCATAACTATATAATTCACTTTTGAAAAAAATTATTAATTTTTTTTCAGGTTGATACTTATTCATAGGAAATTTAAATTCAAGCCCATCACTAATTTCGTGTATTGTAGTTCCAGTAAATTCATTTTTTAACAAATATTGTTCTTCAAAATATTTAAGAATATTTGAAGTATTTATTAATAATGATTTTTTCCAATATGATTTATAATCTGGCTCATGTAAAATATGTAATAGCAGATTTGAATCCTTTAAATAATCTTCATTTCTTTAATGAATTTATCCATTGAGAAAATGTATCAAACAATTGATCTCTTCTATTACAATATACTTGAACTTTTGACTTTTTTGTATTATAAAAATTATTCCTTCAAAATATTTATTTAAAGTTGAAAAAAAGTATATTTTATTTCTTTTAAGATCTGGTCTTATATGTATAAGTTCTTGTAAAACTTCTTTTTTTTTGTTTTTTTAATAACAGTAAAGAAATAGTATTTTTCTAAATATTTGTTTTTTTGATTTTTTTTTTAAAAATTATAATATTATTATAAAAAATTCATGAAAATATTACTATTTTCAATATAAAACATATAATTTTAGAATATTAAAATATATGATTCAACTTTTTATGAGAAAGAAAAATGAAATAAATTTGAAAATTATAATATGTATTTTTGAATATTATATTGTTTATGCAATTTATCGTTGACACGTGATTTATTAAAAATATATCTTTAAATATTTTTTAAAGTCGGATAAAAATTTCTTTTACATAGTAATACATAGTAAATTATATATAGCCCCCATTAAATTAGGTATAATCTTATTGTTTATCATGTCAGGTGAGATCAGGCGTTCGTATAATTTTATTGGTTTATATAATATTATGCGTGGTACAATTGAAATAATTTATACGGGAATAAACTAAACGTCAGCACCATGTGACAACGTAAGATTTTAAATAATAGATAATATAATAATAATAATAAATTAATAAACATTACTTGTATTAGAGTAATCTTTTTTAATATACTATTATAAAAATACCCTTCTAAGTAAACTTTCCCAAAAATTGAATCTTATTGGATCTAAATA